TGTTATCAACTGAAAGGAAAGGGACCCTGATAATCTGTCATTGAATTGTGCAACAATGTCAACAATGTTTTGCATTTTATGTTAACTTTTATTTATACAAAAACGCACTTTCCTATATTTTTAATCAAATGAAGATCAATTCATGAACTGACTTGTTGTTATGCTACATTGGATATCATAAATTAATAAGTTTGAAAAATGCCTTGCTTCTGTGAATGTCTGGACTAATAATAAAATGTTGCTAATGTGAATGGTTGAATTCATAATAAAATGTTGAACTCTCAAACAACAGCCATGTTACATGTACTTCCTAATGAACCAAAATGAAGTACCAGAATGCTGAAATACTTTCTGACAGCTTCATGATGTTCAGTTGAATCATATCTGACAGCAATATTTCTTGTTATAAGACAACCCTGCATACTGTCTTCTTTGAGTCCTAAAGGGTCGATCCCAATGGCCAGCTCAAATTTCTCCTTACATCTATCCTTTATTTATGTAAAAAGTTGCTTCTATGAAAGGTTGAACTTATGATTACACATTAAACTCTCTAAAACTATAACTGCTATTATCCAGTGAACAAGAAAAATGAAGTACAAGATAAATGAACTAGCTTCTGACAATTCCACGATGTTGGGATAAGTCAGGATTTCTTGTCTTTGGACTGTCCTGAGTTTATATGGGTCGATCCCGCTGATCAGCTGTAGTTTTCACATGTATATACACTCTTCCTTTTGGTGTACTTGATCGCGATATGCATTTTAGTTTATTTTATTTGGTTTACCTATATTTACGCTACTAATCCCCGTCGTTCTTTCCCTCCAGTATGGCTGCTGGACTAGTGTTACGGAGCAAATATGACGTCACTGTAATGGGTTAATAGGGATGGGTCCGGGGTCTCTGTTTAACTGAATTGTAATTTTAATGGTGAACTTATGATGATTGGTCATCTCTGTGAATTTCGCGAAATGGGGGTTCAACAGCATATGTGAATCTAAGTAGACTGGTGTCATATAAATGGTAGTCCTAGGGGCATCATGTAATTTGCACATGTTAAGGTTAGCCGGAAGTGTCAGGGTCATCAACGCCCCTTGTTGAAAGTAATGAAGTATTGGGAAACGGGCTGCGCTTCCATTCCTATCACCTTTGGTATGGTCTGATTGCTGTAGCTGAGACGGTTGCGACTCTTGCACCACTATGGTATTACAATGTAGTCGGAGAGTATGTAAAAGCGTTTGACGCAAGACAAAGGTGTGCATACTGGAGGTAAATTTATTTTAACTGTATATAAATTTGAAGTTGTTTTAGGACTAATCCAATTTAACTAAACTGTGTGAGTTTTGTTTAGAAAGGTTAAATTTCACTTTATTTAAATCGCCTTTCGGTGACTTGGTGTGTAAGTCTGGTTTGCCTTGTGTTGTGCCAGTAGTTTATAGTTGCCATCTTATTGATTTATTCCAATGATTATGAAAAATTCTTATGTGGTCTTTTTGGACTACTCATGCGGTTTGGCCATTTTGTTAATTCTATACATTGACTTCTGAGCAGAGAGTCCAGTTTATGTGAATCTTTAGACAATTGCTTCTATCAAGCTAGTAAGAAAAGCACGCAAACATTTTATATAATTATGATAATGATATATTTATTTAGAGTTTAAAATCCATGAAAAAATGTTCTGTGGACTTAACAAATACAAATACAATTAAAATACAAAGTTAAAATGATTAGTTTTTATTAAAAAAAGTATGGTATAAAGAGTAAAGAGAAAAATGTCCAATTATAAGAGAAAAGTGTCCAATTATAATATTTTGTAAAGTACAAGATGGCCAATCTTATAGCTTATTAAAAAGAGAAGTTTTAGTGTTTTTAAATCATCTGCTGAACTTATATTTCTTATTTCTGGTGGTTTCTGGTGGTAACTGATTCCATTCATACGGGGCCGCGTATTCAAAAGATTTTCTCCAAATGTTTCAATGTTTTAATAAAAAACTGGTCCTTAGGTCTTAACGTGTCATTTGGTGAGTAATGAGATAAAAGTTTACAAAGATAATCCTGTAAAAGTCCATAAAAGCAGCATGAGTGTATTTTAAAAGTTTGAATAAAATCTGTGCATTTACAGGTAGTGAAATTCTTATAAAACTCGTGTCATGTGATTCTCCATAGTAGTCCGAGTAAGCAGATGAGCTGAGATATTTTCAATGCGTTGAAGTTTCTTTGTTCTTTCTATTCTGCAACCATGAAGCAAGGACTTGCAGTATTCAAGCCTTGACGTTACTAGGACACGGATGGCCGTGGCAGTGGCGGTAAGATTATTGCCCAAAGTGCTGATGTTTCTGATATAATACAAAATGTACATGCAGGATTTATTTTACATTGGCTATATGGTTATCCATGGTTAAGGTGGTAGCGAAGTAAAACTCCTTATCTTTCGCTTGGGGTAAAACGCCCACTATTGAAGATGCGCCTTGTAGAGATAGTCTTACAGTTAAGTGTTTATAGCGTGGTGGGGTGATAACCATAAATTCTGTTTTACCACCATTTAATTTTAATTTACTTCTGATCATGCATCGTAGTTAATTTGAAATGGCATTTGTCATTGTGATTTTTGCACCCTCAAGCTTATGAATATCACAGTTAAGGTATAAATGAGTGCCATCAGCATATATGTGATAGCCAATGTGGTGATATCGAGGTATAGCACGCAAGGGTAGGGTGTAATTGCACATTTTAATTGGCCCTCTGGAACACCGAAAATGAGTTGTCCAAGGTCAGAGAATGCACCATCAATGGATATCTGTTGTATGCCCCCAATGCTATAGGACCGTGAAAGAGCAAAAACATTGTCCTTAATTCCGGCTGAATCCTTAAAAAATGACAGAAGAGTAGAATGATCAACAGTGTCAAATGCTGCCAAAATGTAAAGGAATATAAGCAGGACTGCAGAGTGATGGTCAAGACCAGTCACTATCATTAATGTATATCCGCAGAGTACGTGAATGCTAGCAGTATTATTATCTCTACATACGGTCCAACAATGCATAAACGGATGGCGTGACATATCCTTTTACAAAGCACATTAGTGAAAATTTAACGATTGATATCCTGTACAAGGGCCTCAACGCTACTCGGACGAAACTCTAAAAGACAGTCGTCATTTGGCGTGCTTCCTCTCACACCTAATAATCTTAAAAATTGATTTATAAGTAACCCCAGCGACGCTATTATCCCCCCTAAATACGTATAGCCCCTAAATACGTATATTGCTCACAGTTCATAACCATTACTCCGTAGTTCTGCGATCCATTGCGTTACTTTCAATAATCATTTTGTTTTTCTTCTGATTGGAAGCTATTCCCGACTTCAGACATAAGATTAAAATGATACTCATTTTCGATTCCAATTGTTCAGTCGTGGCGGCTAATAGTATCGTATCATCCACGAGGTGAAGAGAGTGTAGCGAACTGAGGTATCCATTTACAACAGTTCCTTTTTAATTACCTCCGCCAAGGAGGTTATGTTTTCACCCCTATTTGTTTGTTTGTTTGTTTGTCCGGCTTCAACATAACTCAAAAAGTTATGGACCGATTTTGATGAAATTTTCAGGAACTGTCAGAAGTGGGCCAAGGAACAGACGATTAGTTTTTGGTGGTGATCCGAATCAATAATCAATCAATAATAATTAAAAAATGCTGAAAAAAGTGAAAAAACAGAATAACTTCCCTAAAAATGGCCCGATCATGCTGATTTTCGGACTTGACCTGCGTATTATGAATATTCATCAGTTCTGTAAATTTGAATACAAAATGTAAAACGGTATTCCACTTATCGTGTTATCGCTGAGTGCACGGCGACGACGGCGACGGTGACGGCGACGACAGACGCAGGTGACGGCTATATGTACGGACACATCTGTGTCTGTACATAAAAATTGCTGCCTTGGCGGAGGTCTGCGCTCTCGGAGTGCTTTTCTAGTCCTATGTAAGTGGTGAAAAGAAAGCAGTTGGCTGGTGCACCTTGACGAAGGCCAACAGAAGTTGCAATAACAACCTATCCGACTACCATTTTGGTGTCGCCGTACAACGCAGCCTAATGAAATTATCAAATTAACGAAGATCCTCATAGGGATTTCATCGTACGAGTTAAAGAAATTGATGAACGCCACGAACAGCTTCTTTTAGCAAGACTGCGTAATAACTTAAAGGGCCTACCGACATAATGTCTTCAATACAGCCACAGTCTTACTGTGCACCTGCTTGCTTTCTAGGTTTCGTCCACAACTCTAGGCGCCCAAAAATAGTTTGTCACATACTTTTGCGAATATGCCCATCATGGAAATGCTGCAATAATTATAGGGAAGGACGCGCTGCAAAAAAAAAAAAAAAATAATAATAATAATAAAAAAATAAATAAATAAAAAAAATAAATAAATAAATAAAAAATTGAGTAAGGAAGTGTACCAACGTTGATCCAGTGCAGCAGACGCTCTTTTTCACCTGATGTTGCTCTGTCTCCCAATTCTCAACGCCTATAAACAAATTATAACAAAGAATGAAGTTTTTGGTTTTATATTTTAAGCTCTTATGGACAAAATAAATAAGATACAGTTTAAACTTACAGCTAGGGATTTGGGTTTTTGAATGTTTAAAATGTTAATCTCTCCACAGTGAGATGCCAGTTTGCATTTGAGCATCTCACCAAATGACAATCTGCCTGAATATGAACCTTAGCTGTGACATACAGCTCTATATAAACATGCTTTACCTTAAATGAAATTGATATGTGTATGAAATATGTAAAAGGTTATAACATTTAAAATTGAACACCCTTAAAATGCATCAAGACTCCATAAGACTACATTCAGTACAGAGGACTAAGGGTGCATTCCCATAGATTTTAGATTGATCTATCCCCAAGGGGAGTCACACTAGATGACTGTCAGATAATCCAACTTAAATGTCCATCCCACCTACTACAAGCTGTAAGGGGGTAATTAACTTTCGTGCCCGCTCGGCTGACAGCTATTTAGCGTGAACCCCCAGGGAGTTAGGTCGATCTAATCTCTGGGAATGGGGTCTAACTGGCCCGTGGGTCAAATATGGGGACCCACTAAAAAACGTGCCGTCTAATTAGCTCTTGGGGAAGTATTCAAGTGGGTTGGCCACATTTGACCCTCGGACTAGTTAATCCACTGTTCTGAATGCAGCCTAAAATGCACTAGGTAATGAAACTTAGAAAGCCAATTGCAAAACTATGTACTTACGTAATTTTTACTCTTAAAAGATAAAAGGTAAGGTGGAAAACAATAATAAGACAAAAAATGTGGCACTTTTTTGAAAGACAAAATCATATCACAAAATTAAGCTTAAAAGCAATAGAAATTTTTCATCAAGGAGGACAAGGATTTTTTTGTAAAATTAGGTATACGATAGTAATATGTTTGAATTTGAATGACCATCTCTACCAACCCCCCCTCCCCCCCCACAAAAAAGTTAATGACGTATTATGTCCAATTAACATTTGATGTCTGTTAACATTTCATACAACATCCATTGTACACTCCACAATATCTTTATATAAGATTAAACAAGATAACACATACTTCCTGGGCTAACAATTACTGTGCATGATGGACTTCGAAAATGTAAGCTGTGACAATAAATACAAGATAGGTTCAAAACCTAAATAACAATATAATAAATAATAAACAAATGTACTCATAATACATGACCTATTGCACTATCGTTGTATAAAAAAATTCAAAATATCTACATGGGACACCCATGTGGGCTGTGCACTGTGCAATTATTTACAAGTCCAAATGCCATTATAGACCATCAACTTTGCATTCAGCTAAAGAGATTACCTACATTATCTTAATTTACTATAAAAACCAGGAAAAAACATTTGGCATAAACCTTGAGAAAAACATTACTTTAGGTTCCTTGTCAATACTTCCTGTTTGTAATTTTGAGAGTTACAAAATAACCTATTCAATAAAACATTCTTTCAAAGGTAACAAAAGCTGTATACAGGAAAACTATTTCCTTCCCATTTACAACAGTCATCACACAATCTGAACTTCAGCCTTCTCAGATTTTTCCTATCCAAGCCAGGAAATATATCAACTTTTTATAACAAGTTACGCCAAAAGCCAGTTCAGTGGGATGAAGTGGGTCTGACACAGTTAACTTTCTTAATATAGGGTTTGAAGCATGCATGAAGTACACTATCCACACAGAGCATGTCCCTGTCTGCCTCTGTCCAAATGTATCTAGCTGTTCATACTTAAATTATGCAACTGAATACAAATTCCTACTTGTCTTAGAGCAAGATGGTAGCAAACATTTTATCTCTTTTCATTTACTCTGCATTATTATGCAATCAATAATACAATCTTTACTAAACAAACACACTACATGTAGTCAAACTCTCAAAAACTCAAAAACAGGAATTCAAGGACTTTGGTGAACTATACCATTACACATGAACATCTCTTTGGTATACCATTATGGTAGTCATGAAAAACTCCTAAGAGTAATTATTTGATCTAAAGGGCCATTTATAATGTTGCTAGTATGCACTCACTCCATGGGGACTCTTGCTGAATGCAATCAGATTAACAGACTAACACACCTTATCTTGTTTCCAGCATACAGCTTATCTAAGTTGTACTCAACACCAGGAGGTGTGTTAGTCTGTAAATCTGCATTCAGCAAGAGTCCCTGTACATACCATACAAATTCATTATGAACATGAACTTGTTGCACTGCATTAAAATACTTGCACATATTGGTGCACTGCAATGTGTATAACCCTATAATCTAAGCAAAACCAGATCAATCCTTGTAAATGTGTACAGCAATATATCTGCAAAAGTGTTATATCTTATGAATATTTTCCTTTACAGTAACTCACTGAACTTTAAATGATATGTTGTTATATGGTAAGGGATTTGATGTACACACCTGAACATGCATTTCCACACACAGCACATGGGCATTTTGCATTATCTGGTTGATAAGTTGAAGCACCTGGCAATGCCCATAAATCTTTCATCAGTTAACATGCTTGAACTTAAAGCCATAGTAAACCATTCAGTTATAGTGCCCAAGTTTCACCATGATATCATATTTTGAACTGATGAGTAATCTAGGTTCTCTTGGTTTCAAGCTACATTTGAGTATTACTTGCTTTGGATAGTTCAGCTTAACTTCCTCTATAGAAATGAGTAACTTGAAACAAATTTCTGTAGAACTTTAAAAAAGCAGATTCTTTTACAGTATGCATAAATAGGATACAGGACTCAAGTGTGAAAAATAAATACTGCTTGTACAACTTGGTACATGTATGAACAGTACCACGAACATTTGACAAACCCAATATCACAAATACTACACAAATACTTCAAATAATTTAACAGCATCCTCCACCCTCTGGTTCACCTTCCATTACATGAAAAGTTTCTCTAGGGCGTGCATATCCATTCTTTACACCTTCCCAACCCTCTTCCACAGTAATCTTTCCTTGTTCAAGAAGTTCATAAACATCTCTGGCAACAGTCAAAAAACACTCTTCTACATTCAACCCAGTTACAGCAGATGTCTCAAGAAACTTCAGGCCATTGTGTTCTGCTAAAAGCTTTCCTTCTCTTGTTGTCACCTGACGGTCTTCCTCAGCATCTGCTTTATGTCCCACTACAAGAAAGACTGCCTTGTTGGGTTCTATATGCTGTCTTGCTTCTTCTAACCACCCTGTGAGATTCTCAAAGCTGACACGCTTCGTAATGTCATAGACAAGCAGAGCTCCAACAGAATTTCTATAGTATGACTTTGTAATAGCCCTGAAAAAAGGATGATGCCTTGTATCAATATGCTGTTAACCCTTTATACAGTGTATTTATGACTATATATGTCTACATACATTTTGTTTTGTGAAAAAGCCACAATCAGTAAGCTGCTCCATATCTTTCAAGCCATTTTCGTGGTTTGTACTGTACACATTTGTGGCTATGTAGTCATTTAACATGCAGTAGACTAAAATATTTTTAGTTTGGTCCACTTCAAATATTGATCTTAAAAATCATAAATTAGATCACCTGATTGCAAACAATTCACTGCTTTATTACAAAACCTTGGAAAGTGCGAGCTTCTATGCAAAACTTTTAGTTGTTCAATGCATTACTGCTACTCTAAAATTGTACATGAACTTGTATCACACACAAAACTGCTTCAAGTATTAAAGCAAGAACTGTGGTACATGTACATCTGCTCTACTTATGGATGGAACATAAATTTAGGTCAAAGGGCATATCATATATTACATTTTAGCTGCAAAGAAAGTGTCCTATAATTATCTACCATGCTTACCTAAAACGTTCCTGTCCTGCAGTGTCCCAAAGCTGTAGCTTAACACGAACGCCTGGTTTCACCTCAATAAGCCTAGCAAAGAAATCAACTCCCACTGTAGGATCACAAACCTCAGAAAATTTTCCTTCTGTGAAATATTTTAGTAGGGAAGATTTGCCAACTGTGCTGTCTCCTATTAAAATCAGACGGAATTGATACTCGAATATTGGTTCAACCATTTCTTCGATAAAATTCTTGCCTTCTTGATGTATTGAAGGCAACTTTAAGTATTACAGATTGGGATGAAACGCGGATATATGTTCAGATGAATGCAACTGTCAACCACAATCCATCTATGTTGTGATTCTGTGGCGTGACGTTATTATGGTCACGTGACATTGCTTTCTGGTTTGTAAAGTCTCTATGGATAGGCTGGTTCAACCAAATTCAACCAATCAATACGCAGAGCTCTAAAACATGGCGGTCAAGGTCGAAACCAATATTTATGTGTTTGGCGAGGCTGTTGATCCGTGATCAGACAGAACGTGGGGTTTAAAGAAGTGAAAATTGCCCACCATTATAAAGCATTCGGCTTACAACGCATTGTGAAAGGCAACTGGCAATGGCTGGTAACTTACGAAGAATTGGTATATTTGCATATTGTAAATTTTGGTCTGGACGTTTTACATTGTCTCCGGGGGTACAGGTACTTCGTACAAAATCACATTTGTTGCCCAAGGTTTCCTCACAGATGCAGAGAAATTTTGTGGTTTATCATGCGCATTTTCAAAAAGTGGAATCACCAGAAAGTAAAGAAACAGAAAACAACAGGAAACACTGGGATCATAGTGATTCCATAATGGACGATACCCAGACAGACGAGCAATTTGGTCAAGTACAACAGCATCCGGAGGAGAAATTGAGAGATCAAGAATTGCTGCAGGAAAAACAGACAACCAGAGAAAATTATTACGAAGAGTGGCAGAAGAAGGAGGAGTCGTTTGGATGGAAAGCTGGAGCGCCAAAGCAAAGATTACATCCAGTGTCTGATGAGATTGTAGATAAAGCAATTAAAGGCTAGTGTCATTGTCGGAATGCATCCGGCTCCATTTGTTAAGCGAATGATAATTAGAGAAAGTTTGTCAATTCTCACTGTAATGTTAAAAACTAGAATATCACACAGAGAATCGCCCTTGGAGAGCGCATACCTCTGCCAAGGCAGCCCATTTCTCATATTTCAGTCTAAGAGTTTTTTTTCATTTTTTTCTGTAAATAGAGAAAACTAATTAGCTTTGCAAGATATCATATGTAGACTTAAATAATGTTTTTGGGACTTTTTTCAAATGTGGGTAGTATATTTTTAACTGTTTTAATATAACCAATACATATATATATATATATATATATATATATATATATATATATATATATTCGATGCAGAATGAGAGTTGTCACCAGTGGGAAAGACAAAATCAAAAATAAAATATGACAAATTTTACCTCAAGTCTACTTTCTTACATATACCATCCACTTGCTTTACCTGACTTTTGGATTCATAACCAGTCAAGGAAGCAGTGGACTAACCTGTAAAACTTAAAAAGCATGTTTTTGAGATATTTGGTCAAGGGCCAATGTTGAAGATAAAGAACAGCTTGCATGCAGATGCGAAAAATCTGTTGGTACAAAGATGGTGCTTTAAAATCCTATTGACTTTTTAAATTTTTTAGAATAATTATTTTCGACTCTATTTTCAGCTCGGAGAAAACTTTCAAAAGTGAACAAATGGAGTCTGGTTTGGTTGAAAAGGTATAAAAGCATCAGAGATGTACCAGATGAAGTAACGTAAGTATGTTTTAGGTCCTTTTTGATGTACAGACACAGTGTGTTTGTACATGTTGCCATCACATGCGTTACTTGTAGTTGTCGCCATGCACTTACTACAGTTAATTGAAAACTGTGACATATTAGCCTTGTTGCTGGTTGGTAGGTGTTTTTGCAGGGGCGGATTTAGGGCGTCTTCTGGGTCTTCCGGAAGACGGTCAGATTTTCAAGTTTACATTGACGGGTATCTAATTTTATCTGTCGGAAGACGGTCAAAAATTGAGGATAGATCAACAAAGATAATTTGGAAGACTGTCGGAAAATAACTCTGGATCCGCTCCTGTTTTGTATCTAATTCCATTTTTTTACATGTTCTAAAGTAATTAAGAAAGAATATAATGATAATAATTTTCTGTCCAACATATTTTACCCAAATACTCCAGAATGGCCTGCTAAAATGTTAAAAGTTAAAGAAAGGCAAAGCACTTGTCTGGCTATATAGGTTTATATACATTCCTGAAATTGTTTTACTGATTCTGTGATGTCTAGGGGAAACCTCTTAAGAGAGAGCCGTTTGTCTTGTTACTTATCTATTTCTGGTCATTTGTCTGTGTAAATTACAAAAAGTGTCCTCTCTTTTTTTAAAAAAATTCACTGTTATAATCTAATCAAAATTTCATTTTGTTTTTTAGGCGTGCATATTGGCAAGAGGCACATTCATTACTCATGGCAAGACTTATGTTTTGGAGTGCATTTTGGATCTATGCAGGCTTTTTATTTCTTGATTACTGTTTGAGAAAGCGTTATATAAATCTTGTGAGGTACACAAAGTTTATTATATGGTTGACTGGAGGCCCAGAAGATTGTGATTTAGTGAAGGACATGGATGAAAATAATTATGTATTGGGATGAAGAGTTAAATAAAGGTCTTCCAACTATGAACCGTGCGATTTGTAAACAGTGCAAAGGCTTTCTCTTTTTAATCATTTGGAAGTTGTAATTATTATCTATTTCATTGATTTGAATAGTGTCTTAGCTTAAATTCAAAATATTGTAAAAATTGTGATGTCTTTGAGGAAAGCTCGTTCAAGAAAATGATAAGCAATAATGACTATTCAATAAAGTTTTATGTAAATTTTGATGTGTTTATTCGTTATACTGTTCTGAAATTTGAAGGGAGGGAAAAAGGAATAATGGCTGTTCCAGGGACAAAATAAGCAAAATCTGTTTTGTTTTCCTAAATTTGATTATAGATTTTGCCAATATTCCCATAGTTACGGGCTTCCCATAACTGTTATGGTGATTTCATTTACGTGAAAAATAACACCTGAAAATTTCAAATCTGCCCCAAGATGTGCTTGATATAAGGATCAATTTGTGCATTGGAACAAATGAGCTATTCATCCTTAGAAAGCAAATTTGAGTCGTCAGTCAGTTACCAGAGGATAAAACAAGGCAGCAAAGCTGTCAAATGTACAGACAAAAAGCAGACAATAACAATGCACAAAATAGGCTACTGTCAATTTTGATGCCAAAGTACATTATGCTTAACTGCAAATTCAACATCAAATTTTTATTATGCTCAACAAGTAATATCAATTTAAGTAAAATGTGTAACAAGCATAAGGCTTCAGACCCATGGGAGTTCAAGTTCACACTTTGATAATGCCAGAATGAGAAAAATTAAAATTTCACACAAAATTGCATAAATTTAATAATAAATGATAACCCAATTGAGCTGGCTTTCTAATTTGGACTGCATGCCAATCCTAAAAATCATACTTGTAAGTTAAAAAAATAATAAGGAACAGTTTTCTTTTCATAATGTTTGGAGTAGCAGTAAAAAAAAGATTTTGTTGATGTAACATTACATAATAAATTACAGAATAATTATCACCAATTTTTGATTATTGGCTATAAATAGCATGGACATGTGGAAAATTTGATTACCATTCTGCTTCATGTCCATGGGAGCTCTGAGTCCCACAATGAATATGCCAACACAATAAAAATGAATATGTCACTAAAAAGTATTACTTCCAGATAAAGAAGCCAATTAGACTGCTTTTCCAACTCGGGCTGAATTTTAGTCCTGTGTTTCTTTTTTGAAAGTTTGACAATCATAAGTAACATGGATTTCCCATAATGGTAATCATGGCAGCAGCACCCAAAATTGTGTTTTCTTCTTCTAATTTGATGCAATATAACATGATAATGCTTAACAGCATAATGACCATCAATTTTTAATGATAGAATATACATATCATGGATTTTCATCAGAAAATGTGACTAGCATGGGTCTTCAAGCCCTTGGAGGTTATAAGTCAACCTTGAAATTGCCAATATGTGAAAAATTAAATTTTCATAAAAAAACTGTTTAACTGCCAGAAAGAATTACCAAACAGACTGCATTGCCTACTGAAGCTGTATTTCAGTCCCATGTTTCTTTCCTGTAAGTTTGAGAACAGTGAGTGACGTGGTTTTCCTAAAATGGTCATCATGAAAGCTGTGCCCAAAATAGATGTTTCTTCAAATTTTGATGCAATATTACATAATGTTTAAAAGCACAATGACCATCGATTTTTAATAATAAAATATAAGTATCACGGATATTCAGAAAATGTGACTATCAAAGGTCTTCAGGCCCATGGAACTTCAAATCACAACTTGAAAATGCCAAAATGTAAATAAGACAGCAGTGTTCTGAAATGGTTTTTTCCCCATTTTTAACAATTTTTAACATAAAACAAAACTAACAGTTTACTGCCATTTTTATATGATCAACTAAGAAAATCGATGAGATGGGAAAAATATCAATAGAACAGTGTTAAATGTCCAATTACCTCCATTCTGAGATTCTGAACACAGTTAATGATTGAATCTGACAAACTGCAATGATATGAGTTTATTTCCATTTTTGAAACTTTATTACACAATACACGATAACAAGTTTACCATCATTTTTACACAATCAACTAACAATGTTGTAAAGATGCAGGAAATGTCAAACAAACACTTTTACGTATCTTATTAGTTTAATAATGAGACTGTTAACATGCCTAAGAATTGAATCTGAGGAAATGTGAAAAAACAGCATAACTTCTAAAATAATGGCCCGATTATGCTGATTTTCGGACTCAACCGGTGTTTTAGCAAGATTGACCACTCCTGTGATTTTCATGACAATTGTGTTTACAGTGTTGCATGTATGATGAAAAGTGAAAAATAAGCATAACTACTAAAATAGTGGCCCAATCATGCTGATTTTTCAATATGACCTGCGTTTAAAGATTGATTACTCCTGTGAGTTTTATGACAACAAGCCTATCTAGTAGGCTTGTTAAGGACCAAAAAATGGCCAAACGCTGCATTTTGTAGTACAAATGTCTAACTTTGCATAAATGTGCCTTGGGCCAAAAGAAATTTTTTTATCCAAAGAGACGCTCTCTATCGATGCATAAATTAGCATAAATTATGCAAATTAGGTGCCAAAATATATAATATTTCATATTCCCATTAATTTTTGGCCTAGAAACATGTATAGATTATCAAACCTGACTAAATTAGGGACAAGGAACCCATTTTTATGTACAGACACAGATGTGTCTGTACATATTGCCATCACCTGCGTCTGTCGTCGCCGATGGCGATGGCGATGGCGATGCCGATGCCGATGCCGATGCCGGCGCCGTGCACTTTCCTTGTAAACACGATAAGTGGAGGGCAGTTTTACTTTTTGGCTTTATATTTACAGAGCTGATGAATATTCATAAAACGCAGGTCAAGTTCGAAAATCAGCATGATCGGGCCATTATTGTAGAAGTTATGCTGTTTTTTCACTTTTCAGCATATTTTTCACATTTCTTCAGATTCAATTCTTAGGCATGTTAACAGTCTCATTATTAAACTAATAAGATACGTAAAAGTGTTTGTTTGACATTTCCTGCATCTTTACAA